CAATGGTGCTGGTGAACATAAGTGCTGAAAGCCTCTCAGTATCACGGTAGATGGGACATCTACCACTGGGACCTCAGTTCTAGGGGAGGAGCTGCCATTTGCCTCACCACTGCTCGACTGGCCACTCTGATGTGTGGGGAACTGTGATAATTTGCTATGACTTTGGCCTGAGTCATCCCTCCCAACACAAGAAGGACAAATACAGTAGACACATAGGACTACCATCACTTCCCAGGTCACACACCATTCCGACTTTGATATATATTTGTAGTGATTGGAACTAGGTGGATTTCATTGACCATGCAGTCCTTGATTGGGGTTGTTAAACTGGGCCAAACGGGAAGCCCTGGCTGACAGATATAGACAGGGGATTCAGACAGGCTCCTGACTTCAGGGACTGACTCCGAGCTGGCTGGTCACAGCCAGTGAATTGTACACATGTAAATAAAGGATGACTTAGTGATGGGTACTGGCCTCTGTGCAGTTATTCCAACATTTCAGTCCATTAATTGCTGGATCAAAATCCTGGAACTCCCTACAAAACAGCATCAAGAGGCACATTCATCAAACAAGCTGTAATAGGCCAGAAAGGCTATTGGATGAGAAATACCCATTTTGCCAGCAATGTTTGCAATCCCAAAGATAAATAATAAAAAAGCACATATTCATTGATTGAAAATGTCAATAACACTTTTCAGAAGTGAGGTAAAGCAGAAACAGGAATGCTGCATTGCCCAATTAAATAGATAGCTATGTATTTTGGTGTAGGTTGATGATTTATTGGGCTGTTATGCCAATCAAGATGAAAGATGCTGGTGCTAAACAGTGAAACAACTTTTTGCTTTTGACAGTGTCAGGGTCAACCAGCCCTGATAAGTTTAGCACAGCTTGATGAAGCTGCCTCATTTTGGTTGGTTTTGCACAGAGGGTTTTCCTAAAAATATTAAGGCAGAGAGAAAAATATGCCTCTTCACGCCAGAAATTGTCAATTTTTGATGAAGACATGTCCTGGACACTAATTATCCACTTTCCGTGTAGGACCCTTAACACATTATCAGCCCTGAATTAATTTGCATGCAAAGCCCAGCTGTGAAAGAGCAATGCATTAAATAATGTATTTTTTTTATGTTTTTGTGTTCTGATTAATAATTCATACATGTGCATTATTTCTGCATACAAATGTAAAGAACATAATTGTGGAATCATGTTAAAGGTCATGTATATTTCTTGTTAGTGATATACTTATTAAACTTCTTAGCTGACAGATTGAATGTGTTACAAAGATGACTATGAAATTATGATTATAGTACATTTGCTACTAAAATTACATAAAAGGTAATTAGGTTGCCCATTTCATCCATATTTACATAAGGTTGGGCAATTATGAGCCTTGTTGCTCCAGTGTTTGTCACATAGGAACCAGCTCTAAGAGACAAGGGTTTTACTTGGAGAGGAAGTTATGCTCATACCTCAGACTTGAACCTCCTATTTCACTGTTTTATTTCAACTATACATTCTGTTTTTAGTATCTTCATGTTTGGCGGCAACTATGGCATAGATTAGTGACCACATTTCAACTTTCCAACAGTTGTTCAACTAAAGAAGGGGGTTGCCAACTGTAGTGGATTTCGAATCACCTCATTTTCAGCATATTAAAGAGACATATACTTTGACAGCAGTGGCAACATTGTCAATGATCCACACTATAGATCATCTTTCTTCTCATCCCACTGACCTGACATTTTTTTTATTCGTTAATGGGATGAGGGCATCACTGGCTAGGCAGCATTTATTGTCCATCCCTAATTGCCCAGAGGGCAGTTAAGAGTCAACCACTTTGCTGTGGGTCTGGAGTCACATGTAGGCTAGACCAGGTAAGAATGGCTGTTTCCTTCCCTAAAGGACATTAGTGAACCCGATGGGTTTTTCCCAACAATCAACAATGGATTCACAGTCATCATTAGATACTTAATTCCAGATATTTTATTGAATTCAAATTCCACCATCCGCCAGAGAGGAATTTCAGAAAAGAAATGTCGGTCGATGTCCATGAGAAAGACAGGATAGATGAAAGAAGTGGATTAAAGAAGTGTGAAATAAATGATAGAGAATGGATAGGGATTTTGTAATGCTGATAGTTTTTACTTTATTTCACAGTGGCAGTCTTCTATTGAGTACAAGCATGAAACCCTCAAAATTCTTACCCATGTAAAAGACAACCCCGTGAATCTCACCCTAAAAATTTGGATATTTACATGAGCCCTTTGGGCTACCCTGTGAACCTGTGGCATTACTCTCTTGTAAATCCAATAACTCACCAAAAGATTCTGAAAAACACACTGGGGTGCTTCCAGATGTTGCAATAGAAAAAGTTCCAAAATATTGCTAAATTTATAATTTGGGTGCAGGGTCCTTTAGGGAACACTGGCGTTTAGTCTAGTTGGTATTTCATGCTTTTTGGTTGAATAGTGAACAATGAGGAGGTTAAATGCACAGTAATTTTAGTAATTTTGAATATTAATTTCATGTCAGTTGGTCATGATGTCTGATTTCAGGATGCCATCCACTTAAGGTTTTCTAGTGTATGTTGATAACACAGTTGCCTGTGCTGTCCTCATCCAGCTGCTCTGTGTGCAAGATAATTTCACGCTCCTGGAACTTAATCACAGGAGACCTGGTTGTGCCAGTCCTCATTTTTCAGTTGCAATGCTATTTCGTGGCCATTTTCCAATATCCTTTTTTAGTTTTCTTTTTAAAATGTGTCGCCCACATTCTTTTATGGATTCCGGTTCAAATAATCACTTATTGTAAAACTTCGGCTGAATTTTAAACAGTAATGGGCAGTAAACTGTCTGTTGTCAGGAAAATCTGATGGACTATTTGTCATTCTGCTCCCACAGCCTATTGCCAAGCATTGATGTTGAAAGCTCGCCCCATGTGTTCCTATTATTTTCATTATGTTGATTTAAAATACTCACATTCCACATTACAATTTGCTGTAACCTTTCCTTGCCACCAGGTGGTGAATGCTGAAAAGATTCAGATGAGCTGTACTTGAATCTCAGCTCTACGTGGTCCACCTATTCCAATAGCCAAAGAGAACTGGAGTTGTGCCTCAGGATCATGCAAAACCTCCATCAAAGCCGACTCTACGGGACTTTCCCAGGAAATTGGAACCTCCAATAGGCTTGTGTTTTAAACTCTCCATGAACGCCTTTTAAAGTGGGAAAATTTAGAGGGTTGTAATTCAGTTAAGTTTAATAGTTACCCAGGAAAGGTTAGAAATTTAAAAGCCTACTCTAACCTCCTGGTTAACTACTCAACTGAAACTCACCACTCTGCACTAGCTCTAAAGCTACAAGTTGTTCCCCTGCCACGCGTGCCCCTCTGGAGTCCTGAGAACGACTCCCCAACCAGGGCCGACCAGATTTCACACCATCCTTCACAACCCAGTACTACCCACAACTACCGCTGAACTGGCAGCAGTGCCACCCTCGACCCCTACCTCTGGCCTCAGCCATGGACCAAAACCCACCTTCCACCTGCTGGATCCCCACGCCGGCCAGATCCACCTTTCAGAACTGACACCTTTAACATTGTCACCTGTGCCCCCCCCCCCCCCCCCCCACTGCCCCAAATATTTGGGCAAACAGACAGGCTTCTCTCCCCCACCTACCCTGGGGTGACCCTTCCCTGGAACTGACGCACAACCCTGTAATGTGTCAGACCCCACAACTCCGCCCCCCCGCCCAATCAAATATAATCACTCATTCAGTTATCCGGTATTCTGGCCTATCCACCTGACCCCTCCTGCCCCATCCCACCTCCCCCGCCTCCCGCCCCCCGGTCCTGGCTGTAGTACAGGCACCCATGTAACCGGAATTGAGAAAATGGAAGGAGATGCTTCTTGTGCCCTACCACTATTTCCTCTTCTTTCATTCCACAAGTACCAATATTCAGCGTTATCTGTAGGAATAATACTTCTGGGGCCAGCATCGGTAATACTGTGGAGCAGAACAGAGGGGAAAGGAGTGTAGTCCTGTGACAATATGAAAACAGGAGGATGAATAACATGCCTTTATTTCCCTGAATAATCATCCAGCTTCAGGCTCCAGTTGGTCCCCAGAGTGTAGTAGCCAGATGACACTGGTGCCAGCAATATAGTCTTGCAGACCTGCAACTAAGTTTACTGTCATAAGTCTTAAGCAGTTATACAGACTTCAGATGGGGATCTCTCTAGGCTATATTAATCCTCTGGAATACATACTCCTAGGCCTAGACAGGCATTATGTACTTAGGCTGTAGTACTCCTGACCAGAATGGTAGCAGCCGGGAGAAGGAGACTCATTGCTATAACGGCCCCAGTTCAGGGATTTACACATTAATTCACAAAAACTGTTTGGACATAGGAAAAGGCTGCTTCACTGTTTCCCCTTCTGACTTCTCCCACTTCACCTGCACCAGCACCACTTGCTTCTTTTTTTCAGTTATGACGCACCTGTTTATTCTCTACAGGCTGAGTTATGAAAAGTGTAACATTTCAAACAATGCACATGCAACTTCTATTTAATGAAATAATGTAAACTTGCCTGAAATTTGCCTTAAGTATCAGGATAAAGTTGCCTTATTTATGCTTGATGATTTTATTGCTTAGTGTGAAATCAAGCCAGTCTATCGATTCAATTATAGCTATCTTTGAAGCTCCTTCATTAAACACTTCTTTAAACACAATTGAAATTATGTTTCTTACAGGTTTGCGTCTTGTTTGTGGATTAAATATTGGACCATTATGTCTACTTCCAAAGATTTAATGTGTCTTGTTTTTAAAAAATAATGTGAATGGTCATTTGCGGGCATAAGTTTACAGCAGCTTTTATAGGAACCATTTTAGCAGGTTTAAAATTGAGTTTTGTTTAATCCAACCAAATGGATATCACCCAATTAAGGAGTCATTCAGGCTACATTGCTAATTTATCCAATCTATTTCTTTGTCATCTCAGAAACCTAGTGGCTTTTTATCGATGCTAGATGAAGAAAGCCAGACTCTTCGATCAATGGAACAAAGCCTCAGCAAACGGCTGCAGTCCCATTTGGAAACAGCTCATACAAATGCTGTTTACATGTCTACAAAGGATGGAAATGGGAACATTCCATCAAAGGATCCAGGCTCAGCATTCACTATCATGCATTACGCAGGAAGGGTGAGTTTACAGAAATGAGTGATTAGTCACATATGGTTAATTAAGGGCAACATTTAAATTTGAAGAAGCCATTAGTTCTATTGCTGAAGTTTAAGAATAATTACTAGATTGTCTTGCTCCACAAAGCAGTCTCAAAAAACATTTTGTGCAACATAATCTAGTCTGATGAAAGCAAATGAGAGTATTTCACTTGTGATGAATAGCATATTGCATACGAAGAAGCCATGGATTTGCTTGCTGGCAGCAAGCTCAAATATAGGCGATATATGAACACTGTCTATGCAACATCATTAAATAATAATGTGGAGGAATTGTTATTCGCTCATACTGTTTAGTTGGTTGTGTTATTTCACACTTGGAGATTCATGTAACGTAGGCTGTAAAATTTTATGCGATTCATTTTATTAGAAAATTGAAGTGTTTTAATGATGAAACTTGCAGGTTAATATTTCAGTGCACTAATGAGAAAATGCTGCCTGTTGTTCAATAAAATTTTAATCTGGTCCTCTGCTCAATGGGGAAAAGAGAACCCCACCCCACCATCCCTCCACCCCGGGCATTGAAAGTTCTCCCAGTATCCTGGCCAACATTCTGCCCTCAGGCATTACCAGCACGGATTAACTCATTATTGTGTGGAGAATGAGAAAGATCAGTAACAACGATAACTGCCAGAAGAAGGTGGAAGGTGAGAGGACACTGAGCAAAGTGTTGTTGCCTGCTGAAATGTTCGGTGAGCGCTTCAACACAAACATTATGCAGCAGCAATGCCTCAGCTACAGTTGCTTCATCACAAAACCTGTCACCAATTATTTCTCCTGTGGCACTCACAACTCAAACCTGAGTCTTGGACAGCGCTGCTTGTAGATTTCAGGGTTGCTGTCAGCTTTAACTTTAGAGTTATATCTCCTCTATGACTGCAGAAAGTGGCACTAGCATATCCCATAGTGCATCGTTTTACCACAAAGGATAGCTTAGTATTTCTTTCTCCCCAATTGGACAGAGCAATTCAGGGCAAGAGAGCATTGGAACATTTTTGTGTGCTCCCTATCATCATCCTAACAAGATCAAATGCACACGATTCCATTCCGTCAACATATAACTGCGTAGTGACTATAAGCAGCAGTAGCAGGCAGCTCTGTGTCTACTGCCCTGGTAGTAGTCATAACATGCATCTTGCTTCATCCCCTGCACCGCCTTCATTCCTATCAGGCCTTTATTTTACAGGTAGATTATCAAGTGACAAAGCCTATCCACTTGGCTCATGACCATGGACAGGAATAGGAGCAAGACAGATTTCCAGTGAGAATTATGATGAATATCATCAAGAAACAACCATCCTGCTCAAAAAGAAGGTTCCACCGACTGGTCCGCTCTGGATAGAATTTCCAGCTGAACACTAAGCTGCTATCCAGATTTGTGCTCGCCTATTCACAACTTGTCCATCACAGCAGACCTGTCCTTACCATCACCTGGATAGCCAAGCCTGCATGAGATCTAGGATCAGAGAGAGAAGGAGAAGAGAAGCAGTGAACACAATGGCCCCTGCAATGCCAGGACCCAACTTCCTTTACTTCAATTCAAGGATTTTATCCTCACCTCACTACCAAAGTAAACTCTAACTCAGAATCCAGAACTAAAACGCATTTACCATTCAGCCCAGTTGTGCTCTTTTAGGATAAACATATACAACCATCCTTAATGGCTATCGTGGAGTGTGTTTCTTTTTCATAACCTATGCTCTGGAAGTATTTTTCCTGTGGCCTTATCAGCCAAAATGCATTGCTTCCCCTCAACATACAGTTACTTTGACCACAGGCTACTGGCAACAGTCCTAACCCTTTCCTCCTTCACCAGCTCACTATACTGTCTTTAACGAGCCTGTAAAGTTACTGGAATATCAGACAACATGGTCCATCCACTTGGTTCATGGCTACTAGCTGGAATAGATTGTGACGGAGTTGGCAATGCTAGGATTCTGAGAGACGACATCAGGCATCACTCTCATTAAATGAAGGCCACTCTCCTGTAGAAGTTGTTTCAACACAACTAGATGACTAATATGCTTTGGAGGCTCCGGTCAATATGACTTTTCACAGTCAATGCCAGCCATAGAGTCATACAGCATAGAAACTAACAGCAGAGGGTCCAACAGCATGGGTATTACTGTGTTGTTATTGGAGGAGACTGCTACATCCATATTGGATAGAATACTCCCTGTGTGAGGGGCTGCAACTGGATGCTTCATTAAGATTCCTTGATAGTGTGTCACTGCACCTAACATTCTCTAGCAAATACCCATGAGTTTTCTTCGATCATTTCAAACCTTCAATACAGCAAAGGTTTGCTGCAGTATGCAAAAACACCAATGCAAATCTACAAGCTGGTACATGTGTCAACTTATCCCCAAGTCCTACATTCTACAGATTTGTGCCAACTGAGTCACCTCATGTAATCACTTCCATAAATGTCTGCATCTGAGCAGGCACTTTTGGATGTCAATACCAAGAGAAATGGTGAGTTTTCTTAAAGAATTCCATTCCCTTCTTTGACAAGCACAGAAACTTCCCCATATTTGGAAGCTTGTAGAATGTAGGGAGAACAGAGGGAGTGAAGTGGATCATGAAATCACCTGAGTTTGCCATGCAAAACGTTTGAAGAGAGATCAAGGGGGATAAAGAGGAATGGTTCTGAATAAATCCTATAAGGCCTGTCCCCCAGACACAGTAGTTGCCACAGCCTCAATCTTCCCCTGCTTAGAATGGCCAGCATATACTCTCTGAGCAGGAAGATAAGTAAAAGCAGTCTCTTCCACTCATTGTATGATGCTGTTATCTAGAATTATGCACATCTTTCTCCTCTCAGAAAGAAGCTACTGTGTGAGGTATTTAGAGAATGTGCCTCTCATTGTAGTCAGCGTGTAACATGAGAGTTGTGGGCAAATGAAAGGTGGTTGGTATGTATGAGAAAACAGGTGTAAGGGGGTATATTACATTAAATATAGGAAAGTTAAAGTAGTAAAAAGAGGAGGCATATGAATATTGTCAGTGTGAAAATGATGAAAACACAGGAAGTGTAAAGACAGAGTAAAACAACAATGCTCTCACCTTAACTCTAGCTGTATAATTGAATTTCTTCCAACATTGTAGTTATATCTTGTATGCAGTGCTCCTGCTAATCACATGAACTACAAATTGTTTCAATGATTGTGGAATAGATGCCTAGAGAATTTCCTATCTGTTGAAGAAAAAAGCATCTAGCTCTTTATCTTCATTCCTGTACCAGGGCTTCCAAGGTAGGATCAAAGAGTCATAATGCTCTCCCTGTAGTTTCTTCAGCAATATTTTCACTCAGGACTGCGTTCTTCTTGTCTAGGTTGCAAAATATACCTCTTTCCCATTGAATAAGTGTTGGTTGGGCTCACGTTCAAGTCCCACCTACTCCGGAGGTGTGTAATAAGTTCTCTGAACAGGTTGATAAGAAAAGTAGGTTAATTTAAAGAAAAAGACATTGGTTGTCTTTAAATAGCATCAAGAATTGCCAAATGTGCAGCTTTCATTGGCCAGTGATCTTCTTGCTGATAGTTTGCATGATGCTAATAATTAAGTTACACAAAAATCACCCTCTAATGGAGTTGCTTGTAATGGCAAACTGCAAGTGAAGCTAGAAAACAGAATGAACTGCAGGTGACTGCCACACAGTTTTTGAAGATCAAGGCCTGTATTTTTTCCTCAATCCTGGACTAGGGAGCTGCCCCATCTTTGTGAAAGGCTGAATTTGTGCGAGTGAACACTGCCTTTGTGAAAATAGTGGTTGAGCCCAGAAGTTTGCAGTTCCACTCACAAGCAGGTTTTCTGTGGCAGCAGGAATGTGTTCAGGTTGGGCTTTGTGTCTGCACAGTTCACAAAGACACATGATCCATTAAGTCACTAACTGTCTCCAGTGAAGTGGGACTTTGATAACCTTGGAGTGTGAAAACTGGAGCATTCAGAGTAGACTTGGTAACTGCATTTGCACTTTGTGTATTTCTTTGGATACCCAGGCAAGGTACACAGTGATGGGAATAATCCCAGCTCCACAAATCTGACCTTAAGCATTGGATGCCAGGATGTTGGATTTTCAGTCAGGAAGTTCGGGCTGGATAGAGGTGAAGGTAGGTGACCCCAAAAGTACTGTGGATGCTATAGGGTACTGAGCTCAGCTGTACAGTAGACCAGCCTCAGAGATCCAGCACTGTGTCCGAAACTTAAAAATATGAACTAAAACATTAAAAATCCTTCTATTATTTGAAATCTCAAGCTCCAGATTAAGTATTCTAATCATTACACCACCATATAGAGTCATAAGAGCTGTACAGCACAGAAACAGACCTTCGCACCAACTTGTCCATGCCGACATGGTATCATAAATTAATCTAGTTGCTTTTGGCAGCATCTAGCACATATCCTTCTAAACCCTTCCTACTCATGTATCCATCCAGATGCCTTTTAAATGATGTAATTGAACCAGCCTCCACCACCTCCACTGACAGCTCATTCCATACACCCACAATCCTCTGTATGAAAAGGTTGCCTCTTAGGTTCCTTTTAAATCTTTCCCCTTTTGCCTTAAACCTATGCCCTCTAGTTTTGGACTCAGTTTACCCTGGGGAAAAGACCTTGGCTATTCACCCTACATATGCCCCTCATGATTTTATAAATTTATAAACCATGCTCCAGGGAAAATAGCCCCAACCTGTTAGGTCTCCCACTATAGTTCAAACCCATATGTTAGAAGAAGCAGTTGTTAGGTTTAGACTGGAGCTCCTATTTTAGTAATGTTACACAAGAAAAGTTGAATTGGGAGATACAACTGAATAAGGATTTTTTGTTTCAATTTGACAGGATTAGAACAGAGAGAGCTAAGAAGGCTTGTCTTCTGAATTGATAAAAAATGTAAAAAAGGCAACTTTTAGTCATTTCAGCTGATTGTGAATAGTAATGAAAATAGCTCAGTCACTTCCA